CCACTCTTCAATATATATCACAGCAGTATAGATACTCTTGTGGTTTTGGAGGAACTTTATTGCATGCTCCTGCGTGTAGATGCTTCAACTTTACAAGAAGTTTATCTTTTGAAATTGCACATGCATGCCATTGTATATTACATATACAAAATTATATTAAAAGAATGTCTTGAAGGCATGATTAAATTAGGAAATGCCAGAATTAAGGTTGCTTGGACAACCTTAATTTGGACCCCTTGTGTGCACTATGGTGTAGTCTTCAGTTACGTGATCACATATTACTTTCTTTCTACAGGACCTCTTCATACAGTGAATAGAATGACCAGTGCTCACTCAGTGAGCAGCTATTTGATATTTTATTTTATCCTCATTGTTCAGTGTGTGGCCACAAGCCTTATTACTCCACACTATTCAAACCATGCTAGGAATACATAATGATTATACAATCATAGATTTGTAGGACTGGAAGGGACCTCGAGAGGTCATCTAATCCAACCCCCTGCACTCATGGCATGACTAAGTATTATCTAGAGCATCCCTGAGAGGTGTTTGTCTAACCTGCTCTTAAAAACCTTCAATGATGGAGATTCCACAACCTCCCTGGGTAATTTATTCCAGTGATTAACCACCTTGACAGGAAGCTTTTTCTAATGTCCAACCTAACCCATGCTTGCTGCAATTTAAGCCCATTGCTTCTTGTTCTGACCTCAGAGGTTAACAAGAACAATTTTTCTCCCTTCTCCTTGTAACAACCTTTTATGTACTTGAAAACTATTATCATGTCCCCTCTGTCTTCTCTTCTCCAGACTAAACAAACCAGTTTTTCCAGTCTTCCCTCATAGGTCATGTATTCTAGACCTTTAATCATTTTTGTTGCTCTTCTCTGGACTTTCTCCAATTTCTCCACTTCTTTCCTGAAATGTGGTGCCCAGAACTGGACATAATACTTCAGTTGAGGCCTGATCAGTGCAGAGAAGAGTGGAAGAATTACTTTTTGTCTTGCTTGCAACACTCCTGCTAATACATCCCAGAATGATGGGATCCCCCCCCCAACAGTGTTACGCTGTTGACTCATATTTAGCCTGTGATCCTCTCCTCCAAAGCACTTGCAACCCCTGTCAAGTTGGTATCATCCATAAACTTTGAGTGTACTCTCTATGCCATTATCTAAATCACTGATGAAGATATTGACCAGAACGGAACCCAGAACTGATCCCTGTGGGACCCCACTCGATATGCCTGTCCAACTTGACTGTGAACCGGTGATAACTATTTTCTGGGAGTGGTTTTTCAACGAGTTCTGCACCCACCTTATAGTAGCTCCATCTAGGTTGCATTTCCCTAGTTTATGAGAAGGTCATGTGAGACAGTATCAAACGCCTTACTAAAATCAATATATACCACATTTATGACTTTCCCCCTATCCACAAGGCTTGTTACCCTGTAGAAGAAAGGTATTCGGTTGCTTTGACATATTTTCTTGACAAATCCATGCTGACTGTTAATTATCACCTTATTATCTTCTAGATGTTTGCAAATTCATCGCTTAATTATTTGCTCCATTATCTTTCTGGGTATTGAAGTTAAGGGGACTGGTCTGTAATTCCCTGGGTTGTCCTTATTTCCCTTTTTATAGATGGGTACTATATTTGCCCTTTTCCAGTCCTCTGGAATCTCTCCCATCTTCCATGACTTTTCGAAGGTAATCACTAATGGCTCAGATGCCTCCTCAGTCAGCTCCCTGAGTATTCTAGGATGTATTTCACCAGGTAACTTAAAGACATCTAATTTGTCTAAGTAATTTTTAACTTGTTCTTTCCATATTGTAGCATCTGATCCTACCTCATTTTCACTGGCATTCACTATGTTAGATGTCCAATTGCTACTAACCTTTTTGGGATTTTTTTTCTCATCACTACATTATTTGATTGCTACTCAAACCTTAATTTATTTAATTTCACAACAATCCTGTGCGGTGAAGGACTATTGTTATCCCCATTTATAGATGAAGAACTAAAGCATAGAGACTAAGGTGAAAGGTATCCACTAATTTTGGCTGCCCAGTTTGAGACAAACTGTATCTGATTTTTTTAGAGTACTTATATAGCACTTAATATGTTCAAAGCACAGCTCCCATTGACGTAATTTTATTGCTGTGAATTCTTAGCACTTTTGCGAAACAGACCCAAGGGTCTCAAGTTGGGCATCCATAAAACGAGGAACACACAATTAGTGATAACCTGTGAAAAGTGTTTTAAATAACTTGCCTAATATTATGTAGTAACGCTTTGGCAGAGGCAGGGGTGGAATCCAGATCTCCATATGTGTTATATGACCCCTTAATCATGAAATCCTCCTTTCTTTTCCTGCAACATACTGGCTCATCTACTACATAGTTTTGCAAAAGATGAGGCAAGGGCCCTCCAGATAAATGTCCTTCTACACAACTGTGATTCATCTTAGAGCAGGTCCAACTTGTTCAGAGAATAAGGCAGCAGTCCTGTGGAGGAACTGATAACCATGTAATTAAAGACTATACCATAATGCATATGCACAAATTAAAGGATCCAAATTAAAGTTGCCCACGCAACCTTAATTCTGGCATTTCCTAACTTTTGAGTGCTTGATTTTTCAATCCTAATGTTCTTCTAATAATTTTAGTGTGTAATTTTATAGGTTTTTGAAAAAGGAAAGTGGAAAAGAAAACCCAGAAATTCCATCATATTGACATGATTCATCAGTAGGGTTGAACCTTAAAATGTCCCATACAGGTCTCTGCCACTTGAGCTAAGGGAGCAATTGATAGCAGTAGTAGGTTGTCATCCTTGCGTGCACCAGGACTAGAGGGGGATGAGAGACACATTTTGTGAGTGAATTTCACACATTTGCTGACAGCGGAGGAATGATAAGACTCTGTAATCTTGGTTCCATTCTAGGCTGTGGGTGGAAGTGTGCTCTAGTGTTCACAGACCTTTCTGCCCATTCCCGTCTGTCCCAGGCCTGTCTCTTTGCTCCCCAACTCCTTGTCCCAATCACAATTTCCTCACCAAACAAGTCCCAGTCTCCATCTCTCAGGTTTCTCTTCACACTCCCAAGCTTACTGCCCAGCTAATCTGTCACTTAGCTCTTGGACTCCATGTCCCAGTTCTTGCCTTCTCCTCCATCCCCTTGTCTTGCAAGTCTCAGTTCTCCCCTCCTGGCTCTTCAGCCAATCCTTCTCTCTCTCCATCCTCCTCCCTCCCCCTCTTCTAGTCTCTTTGCCCTGCTAGACCCAATTTGCCCTCCCTCCTCCCCCCATGTTCCTTTTCCCAGTTCCCTCTTCCCTGGCTCCTACTCCCCCTGGACTGTTAGATTTGTGAAGATAAAACTTGATGTAATGATAGAAGCTGTATGAGAAGAAAGGGAGAAGAGTGAAAAATATTACCAGACGTGAGAGTCAGGACAGGGAGAATTTTAGATGCAAAAGAGATTTGGGGATAAAGAAGTGTTAAGTGTTAGATATGTTGCATTTGAGCATATGGCAAGACATCCAGGATCTGGGAAATAGGAAACTGAACAGAAAGGGCGTGGTCCAGTAGAGAATAATATCTAAGTCACGGGGATAGAGATGTTAGTTAAAGCTATGACGATGAGTATACTTGTGATAGAAGAAGAGGCAAACCTCTCTGCTACACCAACATAGTGAGATGAATGGATTATGATGATCATGAAAAACTACCAAAGAGTGACAAAAGGAAGAGGTTGGGAGAAATAGCAGGAGAGTCAAGCCTTCAGGTTTCTGAAATCTGAGGAGAGAACTGATTCAAAAAAGTGCAAATGACCTTGATAAAGATAAGACAGATTGTGGGGGGGGCTAGGCTGTAAGAGAAGCCTGGAGATTGTCAGGAAGAGTTGATTGGTATTCTTGATGAGGGCTGGTTTAGTTGAATGGAGGAAAGAGAATTCAGATATAAACAATGGAACTTACGAATATTTGCACACATGAAAGAGCGAATGAAATAGTATTCAGGACAATGAGATTATGCTCCGTTCAAGAAGCTCAAAGGAAGGAAAGGATATGGGCAGTTGACTGTAAACACAGATTCTGACTTATCATTGACCTCAAAAGAGAAAACTCATTGACTTCAGTGGGAGAAGGATGAGTCCCTACATTTGAATGTCTCTGGTTACAAAGAATACATGGTGAAAAATAAAACACATGATATACAAGCAAAAAAGTTTCATACAGAATTATTTTTAAAGTTTTACTTAATGCAGCTACAAGATATTTTAATATATCTTATCACATTTTTGGAGAGAGTATCTAGACAAAAATTGTAGTCCTGGGATCTTTAAAATAAATAATGCAAGTAATACATTCAAGTGTTCTCCAAATTGTGTCCTTTAAAAGAAACATAAAATAATTTGTTAGATTTGAAGCATTCCTTTGTAAATATGTCAATATAATAAAACCACCAAAGTGCATAGTTTTATATAACCGCTTCCCCACAAAGAATGTCTCTAGGTAGTTGATAATTTTATGGACATTATTTCTGAATTTCAAATTTAGGAAATGTGACCAACCATATAATTTTCTCCATTTTAGCGTTGATATGGTGATATTTGAATATTTTGTGCCAAATGAATATTTTGCAGTATAATAGAATAGCCGGAAATGTATGGTATATAAAATTTCTTTAGCTGTAAGATAGAATGTTAACTATTTAGGGCCAAATTCTTCTCCAGCTTACAACTCGTGTAGTCCCATGGTCTTTAGTAAGGTTCCATATTTATAAGTCAAGGGAAAAATCTGTATCTTATTTGAGAAAATTACTGCATCTTTGACTAATATGTTGGTCGTGTCTTCAAGAATTATCTAACTTATTTTTGACCTTGTAAAGTGCAAGAGCAATGTAGAATTAGAATCATTTTTTCACGCTTTTAATTTGAATTATTTTTTGTTTGAACACAGTTTCCATTTTGTGAGCTTTCCTATGCATGTGCAAAATGTTTCTCCTCAGGCCCCCTTGTATTTCCTGGTCCTATTTTTATGAATCATCGAGAGCAGGCTCTAGCCAGAATCAGACCCCATCCAGCACAGCTAAAGCATAAGCGGGACAAGCACAAAGGTATTTGGTCTTCCTTATTGACTAGGAGGGACATATGCCCATCCTCCGAGTCATTTCTTCCATCCACTGAATCTTTGTTTTCAGAGAAATGCACAAAAATTATTCTGCTCTTTTCTTGTTAGTCTCTGTAACCTGAGGAGAAAGAAAACACATTTTATATGTTTGTTTACTTTAAAAGTATGAATGTTTGACACCCTACATCATTTTTGTTTTTTTCTTTGATAAAGTATGTCATTTTATTTTTCTGTCTTTTCTCATTTGTTTAAATAAAACTAAAGAAATTTACACAATTTTCTAATTTTTTCATTGGGCCAGGTAATTCAAGTCTGGCATATGCATTGTCATTTCATTTTCTTGTCTTAATTTTATGATCTTGCACAATGTGTATCTGTTGCAGTTGCTAAAATATTGTTTATATTACAGATTCATTAATTCAAGGCTTCTGTTTGATTTTCTGTAGGTTTACCATCTCTAAGTAAGCCTTTTTTGATACTTTACAAATGTTAATTACTCAGTAAAAAATTACATTTAAGTAACAGAAGACCTATGTCAAAAGTAGCGACACATAGTATGCTTTCAAAGCTTGCTACAAGTAGTTTGGTTTCCATCAACTTTTGGTAATAAAGCAGTGGTCATTGTAATCATAAAATGGATGGGACAATTTTCTAGCTCACTTTGTGAATTTTCTCTTGCTTTTCAATACTAGTTCCTGTCAAACAAAGTTCTGTGGCTTTTTAAGGTCTTCATGGCAAAACAGTAGCTACAGGTGTTTACTGACCTTTTGTAGTAGTAGTAGCAGCAGCAGGATTCCCTGGTGCCATTGTGGCCAGCAACAGTGGCAAGACTAGCAAATTAAAGGATAGTAATTATACTCTCACTCTTTCCGTGGAGCTTTTCTAACCAGCTTTCTTCACTTTACCAGCTGGTCTAATGACAAGGCGCTTGCTGCCTGTTCTTCTGTTTTGCTAGCTTCCTGCATGTATTATGCAAGCTCCTTCCCTCATTTCCATGTGCAAATACAACTTCATTGCCAATCTGTTTTATAGTATCCTAAAATGACACCCTAATTTATAGAAAAGGTATTTTAATTAATTTCCAGAAGTTTACAAAGATACTCTATTTATTTTGTCACCTCTAAGTCTGTACATGGTACCTAATGCAACCTGTCTTTACATGGAAAGCAGTAGTGCTCATTTTTTGTTAAAAACCCACTAAATAGATTCTGAAAAATGTATCTTACACAAATTTCAATGGGTTTTGTGACAAAGGGTTTACTAGCACTTGTTTGGGATGAACTGCATTTATGGTTTTGTAAAACAGAGGTAACATGGCCAGCTCAAACTCATGTAAAAAATCTCTCATATACACCATTGTGTTTGTATAAAAAGGAGCAGATAGGGGAATGGCTAATTTGTTTGTAAATTGACAGAACTATATGTGCGACTATGGTAGTTTTCTTAAGGAAGTGGAGGTGCAATACAATTTTCATGCAACAAGTGTGTGTATTTAACACATATATATTATATTAGTTCCTGTTTTGCTGAGTTAAATTAACTTGTTCATTCTGCAGAAGTTAACTAGGTTAATATTTTTTTTTCCCAGTCCAGAACCGTGTGCATTAGCAGATTGTTTGCAAATAGAATTTCAGTGTATCATATCTCAAAATATGCTTTATTACCAGTATATGCATTTTGACCTCTTTAATCTGCTGTACTGCAGGTTGTTCTTGCTGTTACCTTGTTCAGTGTTTTCTTTTCCCACCCTTGCTCATTGTTCTTTTTTCTTAAAATTGCTTCTTGAAAAGAATAGGAATATAACTATGAATTATGTTTGTAGACGGAAGTGGAGAAAGGGGTGAGAAGGATGCCAGCAAAATCACAACCTATCCTCCAGGGGCTGTCCATTTTGACTGTGAACTCCGGGCAGTACAAGTCAGTTGTGGGTTTCACCATTCAGGTACAAAGCTACAGCTTTTATCTAATGCGTGCACTTGTTGAAAAAATTTGTGATCATATGCCCTTCCACTCGTATAACTACCATGAACTGCCTTCTCTAAGGAAAGGTGTTGTTAATCCTTACCCAAGTAAGTTTCAAATCATTGATATTTTTGGGGTACAGTAGAACCTCAGAATTATGAATACCTCAGGAACGGAGGTTGTTCGTAACTCTTAAATGTTTGTAACTGAACAAAATGTTATGGTGGTTCTTTCAAAAGTTTACAACTGAACATTGACTTAATACAGATTTGGAACTTTACTATGCAGAAGAAAAATGCTGCTTTCCCTTTATTTTTTTTAATAGTTTATATTTAGTACAGTACTGTACTGTATTTTTTTTTGTCTGCTGCTGCCTGATTGTGTACTTCGTTCCAAATGAGGTGAATGGTTGACTGGTCAGTTCGTATCTCTGGTATTCATAACTCTGAGCTTCTACTATAATTCCAGGCTTCAGCATTCTATTGGATATCTTGATTAGCCATCTCTGTGGGAGTGCAAAGGAGTGATTAGGTTGGATTAACATCTGCAGCCAACTTCAGTTCTCTTCACCACTGAAGGAGGGTTAAGAAACCATACAGTGATTAAGAAACCATCCTCTAGTGCTACTCCACTCCACTCTTCCTGCCAGTTGCCACTCTTAATTCTGAACTGTGCAGGGGATGGGTATCCCATGGGACCGCATAAATTATTAACCCCTATGTGGTGGAACTGCATCTGCTATGCTTCCAAGGGCCCTCAATTCCAAAAAGAGTAGGTTCAGAATTTGACCACAAGGCAATATTTATTGTTATAATAATTTTAGTGAGTTTTTTGGTTAATTTGGAGTGCCATTGGAACAAATTATAATCCAGCATTATAATCAGCATTGATTGGAGGCTCCCAAATTATCTCTAGCATGGAAAAAAATTGTGTTAAAGTACAGTTATGATCACAAAAGCGACCGTGCATTCAAGAAAATTGTTTCATGCTGACAATATTATTGGGCGGGTACTGTATTGTGTTTTGTACAGTACTAAAGAACTCGCTGTGAAGAAACTTAAACACACAGAAACAAGACATATTAGGAAATACAGAGGTGAATGGGAAATTAGCGGCTTTGATAAAGTGGATTTTAATGGTGGGACAATATTTTTCCCCAGAAAGATGAGAATCAGTCTGCCCAGGTTCTTAGTAGGCAAACAAATGTAATAAATGCTTATGGCAGTCAGTTAACTGGTAATTTAATCCAGCAGTTACTTTTTCTAATTTTGCTCTGATTGCTACTTTTTGTTTGTTCAAATGAAAATTTGATGATTTTTGTAATTAAACTGTTGAACAAAAACATGTTTGACACGGTTAGCTCTGTAATCAGTTTGTTTAAATTAACAGATGAAAAATGTAATTAGTGTTAAACATTTCAATAGCTTTTCTCTTACCAGGGAATGGCTTCAGTGGGACTACTCTCAGGCTTAAAGTTAATTGTATACAAGTCTTTGCAGGATCAAGAACTTAATAAGTTAAAGCCAAGGAGGGTAAAATTATTACCATCTACAAATATTTTTAGTAATATAAAGTACACATCAAACCATGGATGTGTGAGGTCCTTCAAATTGTCAGGAAAAAAATATTCTGAAAACAAAACATTTTATTTTTAGTGGTTTTGATGGAGAATGGTGATGTTTACACATTTGGATATGGGCAGCATGGGCAGCTGGGACATGGAGACGTTAATTGCAGGTATGTTGTAAATAGGTTAAAGGACATATTTGTACTATTGAATTTCATTCCGTATCTATGAATTGGATTACATATAATGGATATATTCTCCCTGCTTAGATGAGGCAGGGAGAATATTCAGGAGTGACATAAATAGGGCAGGACTTCCTTAAGCTCTGCTAAAAATTTTAGAAAATGTCTCCTGCGCATACTCAGAATCAGTGTCAGCTGTTTCAACTTTATTTACTTCTAGAATAAGCTGAAAGCATTTAGTCTTCAAAGAACTGTTCACATGAAGGTCTAAATGTTGTGTTGCTGTGCCTTTTTTAAAAAAAAATGGTTACAGGAATTTTACTCTGGGGGAAAAGTGCTTCCCTCTATTACCAGTTACTCAAAAAAAAAAAAAAAAAATAGCAGGAAGGGACTTTACTCAGACTTTTTAAGAACAAACAATGCCTGCCTTCTAGCAGATAGCAACCAGGGAAAATTTTAGTCCCCAAAGTATTTCAAAAACTTTAGTTTATGAAAACTATCATACAATTCAAAGTGTGTAGCTTTTTCTTTGGTCTGAACATTTCTATACATTGTCTGGGCCCAAAGATGAAGTGTTTTTGAAAGTTATTGCAGATTCCCTTCATGCATTGTAGTTTTCCAGACATATTAAGACTGCAGTGGATAAAGATTTCAGTGCCAAAAAATCTGCCAAGTTTGTGAGTTCCACAAGGTAAAAATATATGTGCTGAAATCCTTATGCCCCTAAGAACTTCAGTAAAGAAACTTCTACATATTATTATGTCTCTTACAATAGTGACTAAAGACCAACCAAGAATGAGGTCCCATTGTGCTAGGCACTGTACAAACAGAGTAGTAGATGGTCCTTGCCCTGAAGTGCATACTATCGAAATAGGCAAGACAGACACAGTGTGGGGGAAGAGATATAACACACAAGCAAAGTGAACAGTGTGATAGCAGCAAACATCATGTTTCATGGTTTGGGTTTTTTTGGATGGGCTTATGAGACGATAAGCTAAATGGAAACAAAATTTGAAGGGAAGCTAGGTGAGGGGGACAGGGCAGGAGAGGAAGAGGGTAAGAAGAGTATGTATGGATTGTGGAAGCACATATTAAAGTCAGGAGATAATTTAGGCCACATCTTCATCCTAGGAGTGCTTTGCCAGTGTACAGTAACTCTCGGTTAACATTGTAGTTATGTTCCTGAAAAATGCTACTTTAAGCGAAACAGTGTTAAGCGAATCTAATTTCCCCATAAGAATTAATGTAAATAGGGTGATTAGGTTCCAGAGAAATTTTTTTCATCAGACAAGACTGTCTTTTTTTATATTTATATTGCCCGTGTGTAAGTATATAATATTTTATTCCTGTTTTAATATTTAAGAGCCTGGTCCTGAAAGGTGCAGAGCACCTCAGGATCGAGCCCTAAATGTGTAATTTAATATATTTACTGTTTATTTTGTTGTATGTATACCATAAAATATACAGGATTGTGCAGTTGCAGAGATAATATTCCTATAAGCGCCTAACTTTATTTTCCCTTGTTTTCAGTGTTTCAAATTCTAGCCTTAACATCACATTAACTCACTTAATGCTTTATATTTATATAATATAATAAAACTACATTTCTCTCATTTTTGTTTTGGATTATCATCAGACTATCTGGTGTTTTGCTACTTTAACCATTTTAGAATGATAACCTTTGTGCAGAAGGAACCATGTCTGTCCAAATGAGCATATTGCTGACCAATAAGAACTGAGTTGTCTACAGCATCTTAAATAATGTAACTTGCTAATGTACATTTCACTTGTACATTATCTTTGTGTATCTTTATTTTTCCTGTCATATTCAGTGTCCTTCCTTACCTTGTATTCTCTTTATCTCTTCTTCTTCTCATTTTTCTCATGCCTAATCTTTCCATTGTCCTTCCCTCTAGTCATCAGGGATTCTCTACATATGGGGTTATTCAGAAATAGCTATTCCACTTTAAATTTAGACCCTACCTTAATCTGAAACAATTTGCAAGTGTAGGCAAGCACTTAGGCCATGATCCAAAGCCCACTGAAGTCAGTTTTGGCTTGTCAGGCCTTTAATTTGCTCACCTCAATGTTATTTTTTTCTCACCTCTCAATCTCACTGCTTCTTTTCTAATCTATCACTTCAGGGTTCCCCCCACTCACCACTACTGTCCTCTCCCTCAGATACACTCACTACTTCCAGTTGAGGAGAGACAGGTAGAGGGACTTTGTGGTGTTTTCCTTAAACACATCTGTATTTGGGAGGCACACAGAAGACTTTTCAGGTCTTCTGGTGAGATTATTCTTTCTAGTATCTATGGACTTTGCGGGAAAGAGGGATGGTCTAATGCCTTTCCCTCCATTTGAGAGATGCAGAACCAGGATCTTCTCTCCTCCTCTGCCCCTCCCTAGACAGCTGGGGCAGAGAGTCATCCAGTAGTCTTGCCAGCCATGCTTGGGACCGGAATACTAGACAAATGTTCAGTTGCATGATAATACAAATAGTATTCCAGATAGTATCTGACAAATGACAATAACAATATTACTTTGTGATCAGCTGCACAGTTACTAACATTAATATTGCATTTGTTAAATGTTTCATAAAGATGCACTGATACTGGTGTGGTTTTATTTTGACATAGGGGATGTCCCACTCTGGTACAGGCATTACCAAGTCCTAGCACGCAAGTTACTGCGGGAAGCAACCATACAGCCATTCTCTTAATGGATGGACAGGTGTTCACATTTGGAAGTTTCTCTGTAAGGAAACATTTCTTTTTACTTTTGGAAATAGTTTTTTATCTATATATTGTACACTTAGAGTTACAGTAAATAGTTTTTAGAAAGATTTTTCACAATTGCACACATTTGCATATACCTAACTTATGCCTGTGCATATTAAGTGTTTGTGTGTCTTTATTTTAAATCTGGTTAGAAAAGAATGACTATGAAAATCTCCCGCTGTTCCTTACTGTCTCCCATATCAAATTTACATAGTTTTGACATTAATGCCAATTAGCTTACAAGGGGAAGTGTTTTTTTTTTCTATCTGCAAACTAACGTGGTGGGATTTCATGGCACCTGTAGAACATTTCTACATGAGAAGATAATGCATGGAGAAGATGGTTACTGTTCAGAGCACTCCTGGCTCACATCAGAGCTTCTGCTTGGGCTGTAAGGGAAGTTGTGGGAGGAAGCTAGGGAGGCAGTACCTCCTTTTTCCTCACAGCAGTGGTAGGGCTGATTCAAACATGTAAGGTTAACGTAAGGTTAAAAATTGTAAGATGTAGCTTAAATTCATAACTTTGCTAGACACTAAAAATCATCGACTGAATAGAGGCACTGGATTTAGGGCTTATTACAACAATCTGCAACCCATTAACAACCTCCCCCCTCCCCAGCTGCTTCCTCCCCTCTTCCTTCTCTCCCTATGACTAGAGAGGTGTTAATAAGCCACATCACTTTGAATGGTCCCTTGAAATATTTAACTACTTATGCTAAACAATCTGTTCAAACCTTGCATTTAGCAGCCATATTTTGAGTTAGTTTCCCAGACCTGAAGAAGAGCTCTCTGTAAACTCAAAAAATTTGTCTCTCTCACTAACTGAAGTTGGTCCAATAAAAGATAATACCTCACCCCAGGAGTGCTGGAAGCTCCCTAAAAGTGGAGGGGGGGGGGGGAGGGCCAGTGGTGCCTGAACAGTGGCCCCACCCCCTGCGCCGCCCCTTCCCCCGAGGCCACATGCCACAGTGTGATAGCATTATGAAGTAAACTTTAAATGGGTCATCTTTTTCCAATTTTCCATTTTGTATATTGAAACTGTGCTATTTTATCCATCTGAAACTATTGTTGCTAGTATTTACTAATTACTGAATTCTTGCTTTAGAAGGGACAGCTTGGCAGACCAATTTTGGATATGCCTTACTGGAATGCAAAGCCAGCACCCATGCCTAATATTGGATCTAAATATGGACGCAAAGCTACTTGGATTGGAGCAAGTGGAGATCAGACTTTTCTTCGGATTGATGAAGCTCTCATTAACTCTCATGTTCTAGCCACGTCTGAGATCTTTGCAAGCAGGCATATAATAGGTAAGAGCTCTTCAACAGTATTGTAAATTAGTTCATTTAACATACATTTAGTGAAGGAACTTGAAACATTACAATGCAAGCAGTGGAGGTAGTAAGTAAAAGATGCAAATTGAGTAAACTCTTATCTTATGACACTCCATTTTACTTTTAGGGTATTTATATTGTATATGGTACTCTTAATTGATTTACAAATGTAATTTTATTAATACAAATAAAAATCCTCCGAGCTACTCTTAAATTTTTAATGTTCCAGCGCAGTTAAAAACATCTCATCATATCTATAAGATATTGTACTATGAGTGTACTCTTCCTTACAGTATTATTATTACTTCAGAGATGGAGGCTAGCATGTGACAGATGGACTATTTGTCTATTTTTTTCCAGGTTTGGTCCCTGCTTCTATGTCAGAACCACCTCCGTTTAAATGTCTTCTGATAAATAAAGTAGATGGGAGTTGCAAGACATTTAATGATTCTGAACAGGAGGATCTTCAAGGGTTTGGAGTATGTCTGGATCCTGTTTATGATGTTATTTGGAGGCAAGTGTGGTTTGTAGTCACAGAAAGGGGGCATCAGTATAGAAATAAGACTGAATTTATTAGAACAATTTTGGGTAGCATCATCTGCTCACATAGGTTCAACTATCATTTCTCTTACCTATCGTAAAAAGGCATCTGTTCAGTCTCCTTTATATCTGTTGCCAGGGCTGTCGCTTCTCCCTGGCTCCAAAGCATGTGTTGTCACGCCCAGTCTTTTCAAGGAGGTTTATTTCTTTAAACAGAGGTTATCAAACAAACCGAAAACAGTCTCAACTCAGTCCTTGGCCCCAGGCTTTAGGGTCAGCCCTCCCAGAGGTCTCTAGCATACCTGCTCCTGGCAGCTTCCCAGCCTTAGTCAGCTCTGCTCCCATCCTGGAACAGCAGCCACAGAGCTGCTTCCCTGAGCCTCTTGGCCCCTTGCTCTAGGGACCCACAATAGGAGCTAACTGCACTCCAGTGTGGCTTTTCTTCCGCAGGGCTTAGCTTGCTCTGTCCATTCCTCTCCAGGGCTCAACCTATCTCAGTCTTTCCTCTCTCCAGCTGCCTACTAGCAGCCCTTTTTCAGCCCAGGTGTAGGCTAGCCCTCTTTAATTAACTGAATTGGACTTACCTGTTCCACTTCAGGGGAACTGGGCTCAAGTCTATCACAGCAACCAGCTACCCTGTGACAAACTGTATCTCTGTTTTTCTTCTTGGATGGCTTGCTGTCCACTTGAGCACAACATGGCCTAAACAGAGCTCCTTCTTTTTCCTCCTGAATTCTCTTCACATCATTTGGTCTCTGTTATTTTCAACAACTCCTCCAGGCTCAAAATATTTGGTAATCTTAAATTCCTCCATCTGTTTTTCCTTGCATTCTGTCCAAGCCATATTCAGATTTTACTGTTTCTTTTTCCACAGCGTATTGTGTATCTGAATCTTCTTGCCTTGCCCAACAGTTAAACCACTTGTTCATGTCTTAATCTCTCAATTCAGTTACTGCAGGATCTTCCTCAGCAGTCTCACTGACCAGAGCTGATCAGAAGGGGGAAGAAGTGGTACTCTTCTAAGCTCTGCCTACTTGAGACATAAAAATAAGAGGACATTCACAATAGATTATAGTTCTTCCTTCGTGTCCTCTGTATATTCCCATTCATAGAATGCTCCAACCAGTGCAGCCTGAATGGTAAGATTCTACTAGCAGTAGCCTTTGGAGTGTCTATGTGCCTCCCTTGGTCCCTCTGCGTGCTTCTTCTCCGCCCTCCTCCCTACCACCACCACTCTGGATGTTTTAGGGTTTAAAAGTTGCATGGAATTCCACCACCTCAGTTCCTTCAACCGTGATCAGCTGGAGGGTTACACTGTTGCTGTGTGATCCTTATGGAGTAGTAGCTAGATAGTTTGTATTGGTTAGTTGTTACCGAAGTGCATATAGTTATATATTGTTACTTAGAGGTAGGTAGCTAAAGGATTAACATGTTGGATCAGAAGGTTAAGACGCCTGGATTCAAAAGATGTTTCTCGTGACGGGCAGTATTCCCAGCATCAGATGCACATATCGGATGCTTGGCATGTTTGGGGGAAGATCATTCTCCCTCTGGATATCCAATCTGCTTAATAAAAACAACGAGGAGTCCGGTGGCACTTTAAAGACTTACAGATTTATTTGGGCATAAGCTTTTGTGGGTAAAAAACCCACTTCTTCAGATGCGCTTCTTCAGACTTACACGGCTACCCCCTGATACTTGACAATCTGCTTAATGTTTATCACAAGGGCTAAGAGTGTGAGAGATGAAATAGGCTCCAGTCAGTTTTATTGCAGGAATCACTGGCAGTGGCAGCAGATTCTCAGAGAGTGGTTGTAGTTCCAGTCAATTCAGCTGGGAAAAAAACCAGATTCAGCTTCTGTGTCAGATGCAGGATCTGACATAGTTAAGGATCCAAAAAAGAAAAGTTTTGGATCAGTGATAAACTCTGTTTCCATAACTGTCCCATTTCAGAAAGTATCGGTTGCAGTACCAAGAAAAAATGTGCAGATCTCCTTGGTGTCAGCCTCAGTACAAAGAACCAATCTGAGAGAAAGATTTACAAGGACAGAATCTATTTATAGAGCCAGGATCTGACTTAAGATCTCAACTCAGAGTTGGGAGTTGTCCTTGTACAGATCCGACAATATCACATCTGGAGGACCCTGTCCTTATGGTGAATTCTAAGGATCCAGTTAAGAGAACTGATGAGGGTTCATTAACTGGCATAATACTGTTAAAGCGATAGTTCATCATACGGATCCATCTGTGGCTCCATTGACAGTTGAGCCTGGTACTGCTTCTTAGGACACATCACTTGGGTTGCTGCAAGCAATCAGACTGACTGCTTTTCTGAGAGTCAGCAGCACTGTGCTGCTGCATTCTATTAAGACCCCTTCATGATCCCTGGAGAAAAACTTTTCTCTGCTCTCCATTTCAAGGAGGTTATTGTCTCAAGTCCTATCTGAGCCTCGAGTGATTTGGAACTAGAAGAGAAATACAGATCACAGATTAGAACCAGGAAAAAAATATTATAATCAGTTCAGTGCAGGTCTGCTGGATCCGCAGGCACAGAGATATTTCCAGCTCGATCTATCCAGTGGGGTTTTGGCCTGAGTGGCAGATACCTCCCTTAGTAAGATGGTCTCACTGGCCATTTTGGGCACCTTATTAGGAAGGTGTGAGGACAGACTTTCAGCAAGACTGTATCAGGAGGACATTCAGTTGTTGAATCCAATGGATAAGGACCAGCCAATACAGCTTCCTCAGAAGAAGTCACCTAAGGAAATTGGTAAAATATGAGGACGAGCTGGAGCTGGTAGATTCTGATTCAGAATTAAGGGATGTGTCTTCTCCAGATGGAAATGTGGAGGACATCTCAGTATCATCACCATCAGAAGATGCTATAGCCTTTCAAGAGTTAGTATCTTGAATGTCAAAGATGCTAGATATTCCTTCTGTTTTTGTGGAGGAATCATCACATCCTCTCTGATATTTTGGGGTCAGTGGTTAAGTAACTAATCATATTTCCCTTGTTATGAAATATATCAACCACTCAGCTTCTCTCTAAAGTTGATATATCAGTTCCCCGAAGAAGGACTTGCTATGTTTCATACTTACCTGCCTCCTAATTCATTGGTGGTCAAAGTGGCATTTCACAGATCAAAAAGTGCCCAAGCTCACTCTGCTCCGTCGGATAAAGAAGGAAAGAGGCTGACTGTATTCGAAAGAAATACGTTTTCTTCAGAGAAAATCAGCATGTGCATATCCATCTATGAAGCTGTCATGGCTAGGTACCAATACCATTTCTGGAGCAAAACGTCCTTTTCTTAATGTGCTTCTAGAGGACCACCAAAGGTTATCAAATGCTATTTTGCCTGAAGGACTGAATGTTGCTAAGCAACAGTTGACAGTGGATTTGAATCCTCAGATATTTCAGCAAGATCAGTAGCTTTGGCTGTCTCACTAAGGAGACACACCTGGTTAAGATTGGTCAGACTCCCTTATGAGACAGAAATGAGGCTCATAGACCTTCCATTTGAAGGAGAAAGTCTGTTGAGTGTTCAGACTAAAGAGGTACCGGAGAGCATGAAAAATGTAAGATCTGCTAGATCTTTAGGTTTCTTTAAATAGGGAAGAAGTCATATTCTACTTCATTAAACGAGTATCAAAGGCAATATCCACCTTCTTTGTCTCCTTCACATCATTACAGTTACCAGAGAAGGGCATATCATTTTCGTCCGAAACATCATACTTCACAACATCAACATCAATGGAGGAAGAAAGTTAAACCTTGCAATAATAAAGGGAAAGTTTTGTCATCTTCATCTTCTGCGTTGCCTCTGATGCATCGGATTTGACATAATGACACGAAGCTTCAAGCCAGCCCGTATGGGCATTGTTTAATCCACAGTTTGGGGACTAGTTGTCCCTTTTTTTTTTAGCAGTGGGAGTTAATAACATTGGATAGATTGATATTAGAAGCTCTTTTATACGGTTATACAGTTCAGTTCAAAACCTCTCCCACCAACAAGCCACCCACTTCATATTTGGGCAGAGATCAGTCATCTTGATTTGCTAAAAAAAGGATTTCCAGTCTCTACTATAGTTAGGTGTAGTAGAGGTAGTTCCATGAGATCACAGAGGGAAGAGGTCTGGATTTAAGGAGATTAAACACTTTTATATAAAGGAACTTCACTTTTGCATGTTGTCTCTAACACCACCTCTTTCCCTCCAGGATTGTTTTGCAGCTCTGATCTTAAAAGACCCATACTTCAACATTTCTATAAACCATGTCATTGAAATTTTCCTGTGTTTCATTGTTGGAGAGGACCATTTTTCAATACAAGGCCCTCCCTTTTGAGTTATCTCCAGCACCCAGTGTATTTACAAAATGGCTGTCTGTTGTGGCAGTATACCTAAGAAGGCAGGGGATGTATGTATACTTGTACCTAGATGATTTAATAAGTGTCATTCAGGGAAGAGATCTTGTAAATTAAATATATTCACTATTTGTCAGTCTGTGATTACCAATAAACTGGGAAAAGTCATGTCTAAACCCTATTTAAAGGGTTCTTTGTATAGGAGCCATAGTGGATTCAACTGTGAAGAGTGCTGTTCTCCCAGAGGGGAGAGAGATCAACATAAAAAGATGTATGTATTTCCTCTGCCGATTACCGAGACAATTGATTCTTTTCGTCCTTCAGTTGTTCGGTCTGTTGGCGTCAACCACAGCAGTGACTCCTTATGCTAGTCTTCAGATGAGGTCTTCAACACTAATTAGCAAAGAATTACAAACCAGTTTTAGACAATATTCATTGAAAAAATATTAATTCCATATCTCATGTTATCATTTAACGTGGTGGACAGACAATCAAAATGCAATGAAAGATGTACTTTTACAGTCCCTTACATCATCAGTAATACTGATCATGGATACATCTACCCTAGGATGTGGAGCCCATCAGAACAGTGAATTGTTGATCAGAGATCATTGTTCATCAAAGGAACTTACACATCAATATTTTAGAATTGATAATAGTCAGAATAGCTCTAACGTATTTTCTACGTCAACTCAAAAACAAAGCAATTCTGTTAGTAATAGACTCTGACAGCATTATATCTGTGAAATTATGCATCTGAATCTTTGGTCCCTTCACTTGACTGCGTGAGGAATAGATTTTTAGATGAGCTAGAAGAAAAGCTTTCATTAGAAGTACAGAATGTACTGTTTTAGTCTAGAAAAGAATCCACACAAAAGTGCTATAGTCTTAAATGGAAGAGGTTTTTATTGTGGATTTCCATGTATAACATGGATCCTTATATGGCAACAATTAATTATGTATTAGAATATTTATTGTATTTAAAACATAAAACTTTTTTTATCTTCAGTTAAGGTTCATATCTCAGCCATATCAGCATAGCATGTACCTGTAGAGGGAAAATCAGTTTTCGCTAATGAGATACAGTTAAGAGGTTTTTAAAAAGCCTTAATAATTTGTATCCTTCAATACGAACTCCTGTGTTCTCTTGGAATCTGAATGTATTACAACACAATTAATGGGACCTCCCTTTGAACCTGTTCTTTATTTCATTTGTCTGTAAAAAATAGTGTTTTTGATAGCAATCACTTCTGCAACATGCATAAGTGAATTACATGCATTAATGACTGATCTACCATTCACTATTTTTCATGAGGATAAAGTGGTTCTTTGTGCTCATTCTAAGTTTTTACCAAAAAAATTCTGATTTTTCACATAAATCAATCTCTAATTTTACCAGTCATCTTTCACAAACCCCGTACTCATGATGGCGATGCTAAATTACATGTGTTGTATGTGAAGAGTGTTGTCTTTTTATTTAGACAGGACTACAATATTTAGACAGTCTTCCAAGATGTTCAGAGCTTGTGGACCAAAAAACAAGGGAAAAGCTGTTTATATACAGAATCTCTCTAGATGGGTTAGATTTGGTATTTATGAAGCATATAAATTGAAGGGATTATCCATTCCTCAAGGCAGCAGAACTCATTCAGCTAAATCAAAGGCAGCTTGCATGGCTTTCTCTAGATACAGTTCTCTGGTGAAGATATGTACAGTAGCAACCCAGAGTTGTGTTCACGCTTTTACTAATCATTGTTCTTTAGACTTGGAATCTAGATCTGGTGCAAAGTTTGGCAAGGCAGTCATGCACTCCTTGTTTAACTAGAATGCCAGGTCCCACCCTCTTGGGTCAGAGTACTTGTTAATCCATCCCATGAGTAGGGATATGCAGAGGACATTCAAAGGAAGAAATGAAGTTTACTTACCTGTAACTGAGATTCTTCAAGATGAACTCTGGATATTCACACTCCCCACCCACCTTTCCCCACCACCTCAGAGTCCTACTTACCAGAGGGCTGGGGGTTGCAGTTGAATGAACTGAGGTGGTGGGTCATCACACTCCTTTTAAACTCTTGCCCTAGAACTTGAGAATTCAGTAGGGGTAGGGAGGAGAGTGCAAGGGAGCTGCATGGATGCTTCAACAGCTATTGCTGGTAGAATTTTACAATTTGGGCTGCATCAGTCAGAGGTTCAGAGCATCCCATGAGTGTGAATATGCAGAGTCCATATTGAAGAACCTCGGTTACAGGTAACTAACGTTCATATATTCAAAATATGATCGTGTGTGCTCTGATGGGCTCTTCAGGATTGAGTTCCCTTCATCAGAGTTCAGATACACCTATGAGCAGAGATGAGTTAAGGCAATAGTTATATGCTTAAGGCTCTGTGATGACATCAGAATCTCAGCTTTCATTTAGAGAGAAGTTTCTAGCCATCATGATTGTGAAGAAAATCTTGAAAATGAGTCAAGTAGAAATGTTGCATAAATTTCTGCCTGAGTCAAAAAGTCTATAGGAAGGACAAGCAGTAGCAGCTATAGAGCTAGAGAGGAAGCCAGTTAGCCCACGTTTGTTTAGAAGGGATGCAGTCTGATTAGGGCTTGAATGACTGTCTGGGTTCTGCAGGATTGGATCCTTTTCACAGGGGCTTAGTGCCCTGCTCAAATCTATGGGATCTGTTTAGATGACCTGCTGGGATCTGCTTCCCCTTCATGTGGCTTTTATATGCTCTCAGGGCTTTGTTTGTTTCCACCTACCCTTCTATCTTCATGAATCAGATGGAGAGGAAAGATGCTGTAGGTCTTCAAAATATTATTGTTCTTTCCTTACTAACATGCTTTGAGCAGTGAAATAATTTCAGTGTCAATTTTAACTATCATCATTGGTACACCATTGATAACAAATACTTTTTATTCATTTCATTCCCTTTCTCCATCTTATTCCGTGCTGCCCCTGCACATAGAAGGTTCTTCCAATCCATTGCTAAGTTACTGTGTTCGTATCATTCTCCCTTAAAAAAACCTCTTCATATGGGTCATCCACAAGAAGGTACTGTCTGTTGAAAAAACCAAGCGAAAATATGTTGGACCCCTCAACCCCAAGATTTATATGCGTCAAAACTGAGTAACCTTATGACTTTCAATTTAAAGCCTTGTTATTTTTTGCCTCATCCCCTACTGTTTGGTACTGTCACTTGTTGTATTACATCTATAATTAGATTTTAAGCTCCTGAAATCAGCAACCATTTTAATGTCTCTTGTTGGCTCTGAGACATGCTTAGAACATTTTCTGGATGTTCTGAAATTTAAATAATCTAATATGTTTGAATTTAAGGTTTTTAAGAATGTTTGGGGCTATTGTTACATTTTTGTAATAAATAGTGGTTATCTCGCATAACATATATTTCATTGGTACAGTGGATTGCAATCCTAACATTCCCTACTAGTCAGAACTATCATTAAGTAGTTTTCAGTAGATATTAAAATAGTTTAGAAAGTTTAGATATTAAAATAGGTTCAGTTAATTTTTTTATTGTTAAATTTAATTTTTTCACTACATTGAAATCTTTTTTTTTACTTTGTGTTTTTGGGTCAGGTTTCGACCAAATACTAGAGAACTGTGGAGTTACAATGCTGTTGTTGCTGATTCCAGGCTTCCCTCAGCTCCAGACATGCAATCCCGATGTAGTATTCTAAGCCCGGAACTTGCTCTTCCGACAGGATCCAAAGCTCTAACCACCAGGTCTCATGCAGCTTTGCACATTCTAGGTATAAATTTATGGTTGATGAATCAAAAAGCTGAAAAGTAATAGTAAATACACTCTGCTGTGTGTGTGTTTGTGTTGTCTTTGAGTAGTGTCCCCATGGGTGCTCCATTTAAGGTGTGTTTACACCCCATACACCTGAGATCAGAGATTTTTTTGTAATAGTGCTTGTTCGACTTGCATATATGCCCTCCACATCCTCATGCCCTCCACAAAGGCTATATAGGGCTGCACGGTAGAACTGCTCTCAGTTCCTTCTCATCCGCCTCAGCCTGAGACAGAGTATTAGTGTGCCTTTCTATTCAAAAATAGTCTATTAGCCTCTCTGTCTCTCATTTCTATTTACTTTGTTTCAGAGGAATTGGTCTCAAAAGTTCTGGTCTGGGTTTAAGGGCAGGGGTAGGAAGAATCATGAGAAAAGATTTAGACTCTTAACAATGGAGCATTCTCCCTATCCAGCTTCAGATCCAGGCCAGGATGCCGTCTGCTCACCTCAGACATCGGCCTGGGAGCGAACATAGTGCCCCTTTGACTTCAGCACATTCACTTGGATCTGTTGGAGGTAAATCCTCAGAGAAGACCTAAAAAAAGAGAGCCCATTCTCCTCAGAAGGAGCCTACTCTGAAGTCGGTCTCCTCCAACTAAGGGCACGTCTTCACTACCCGCCGGATCGGCGGGTAGCAATCGGTCCATCGGGGATCGACGTATCGCGTCTTCACTAGACGCGATAAAATCGATCCCTGATGGCTCTACCGTCGACTCCGGAAATCCACCGCGGCAAGAGGCGGTAGCGGAGTCAACGGCGGCGCGGCAGCGGTCGACTTGCCGCCGTCCTCACAGCCAGGTAAGTCGACCTAAAATACGCCACTTCAGCTACGCTATTCACGTAGCTGAAGTTGCGTATCTTAGGTCGACCCCCCGCTGTAGTGTAGACCTAGCCTAAGACTGTTCGTCCTGCTAAAGCCACTCTGTATGATAAAGGTCAACAATGTCTTAACTGATTTGGCTGCAAGATCTACTCATCCACAACACTTCAATTTAGATTAGCAAACTGTCAGGCTGTCATGGCTATACACAACCACTCAAATTACACCAATTTTTCCACCTTTATTGAACACTTACCAACTGAACAGAGTGAGCCGTTTTAGGCTACAATTAGGGGCAACGGTTAGCCAGAACGTCTTTTCAGATCTCATTGGGATTCCGCAGACACTGCTGCTCAGTCTGTTGCTGCAGCAGTGGTCATATGCACAGCATCCTGGCTTCAGATTTTGGAATTTCCAAGGGAGGTCCAAAACATCGTAGAGGACTTTCCCTTTGATGGTTTCAAACTTTTTGCGGAATCCAAAGACAAATACTTGCATACCCTAAAGCAGGTGTCAGGTACCTTCGACGCAGCCCACTGGGGTAATCCACTGGCAGGCCACGAGACATTTTGTTTACGTTGACCGTCCGCAGGCACGCGGTTGGCCGCGGTTCACCGTTCCAGGCCAATGGGAGCTGCGGGAAGTGGCGGCCAGCACATCCCTGTGGCCCACCAGTGGATTACCCTGATGGGCCGCATGCCGAAGGTTGCCAACCCCTGCCCTAAAGCATTCTAGAGCCACCTTGAGATCTCTTGGGATTTACACACTTGCGTACAAAATAAGGTTTAGTAAATCCCAGACGGCACAGAGATCCTGCCTCACATAATTTTCTACTTTTCAGAGACCTTATGAAGCACTCAAAAAGAAACTACGATATCCGAGGAAGAGACTGTTTCTTCAGTGTCTACCACTTAGGTCCCATCAACATCTAAGCGGCAGTTATGACAAGTTGGTCGTGGTCCTTAAACAATCCCATAGAACTGAGCTGCACGTGCACCATTCTGCCTCCTTCCTCCTTTTTTGGAGACCACGTCTCTCGTTTTCAGTTTGCATGGGAGTAGATTACATCAGACAAATGGGTGTAGGAGGTTACAAGATTGGGATATTCCATCTATTTTTACCTCCTTTTCCTCTTACCCTCGCCTCTTCAGGGACCCCTCTCATGAGCCTTTCTTAAGACAAAAAGTCGATTTCCCTTCTGTGCATATTGGAGCTGTAAAAATGTTCCAGCTCAGCACAGTGGGAAGGGCTTCTACTCCAACTATTTCCTGGCCTTGAAAAAGAATGGAGGATGGAGATCAATTTTAGATCTAAGACTCCTAAACAATTCCCAAAATTCAGGATGTTGACTGTTGCAGCAATAATTCTATCCTTGGAACTGGGGGGGTTGGTTTTCGGCTCTTGACCTTCAGGACACCTATTTTCATATGTGATTTCCTCCAATCTGCAAGCAGTTCCTTTGGTTTCTGATAGGTCAGGATCACTGCTAGTATTGAGTGCTCCCATTCAGCCTCTTTTCTGCCCCAAGGATGTTTTCGAAGGTGTTAGCAGTGGTCACAGAATTATACCCAGGGATTGGAGATAAGCTATTTCCTTATCTTGATGACTGGCTATACAAGGGCCAATCTTACAACAAGGTTTGCCATTCTTATCGCAAAGAGTGGTCTCTGTTCCACAAGCTAGGGTTGCAGCTCAGCATTGAGAAATTTACTTGGACTGCAGTACAACAAATAGGGGCCTCCTTAGACACAATATCAGCCAGGCCGTACCTTTCTGCAGTCAGATTCCTGGTGTTAATAGGTCTAATCTCAAAGATTCAAACCAACCCACACACATCACAAAGAAATTGTCTGCAATTGCTCGGATACATGGCAGCATGTACCTTTTTGATGCTCTGTGGTAGGCTACACTTTGATGTGTCAGAATTGTTTCCACAACTCAATTTGTGGAAAGTCCCAGTCAGGGTCTGTGCAGGAGTTCCTTTCGTTCAAACTCCTCCTTCCATCACCATAATGACAGATGCATCACTGATAGATTGTGAAGCACATCTGGTGCCAGTACCACTCAGGACAAATGTTCAACCCAAGAGGCACTCTTGCACATCAACCTCCACAAGTTGAGGCAGTCAGGAATGCCTCTGTCTGTTTCCTAACTTTAATCAGAAACAAGTCCATAAGGATCTTGACAGACAACATAGCCTGCATGTTTTATATCAATTGATAGGGAGGGGCCAGATTGCCTTCTCTTTGTGCTGAAGCAATAAAACTCTGGAACTGTGCTTAGGCAACTGCATCCTAAACTCTGCCTCTTCTTTGAGTGGTGTCCCTATAGGTACTCCACTGTAGTTATGTTTGTGTCCCTGCGCTGCAGATCAGAGAACTTCGGTAGCACTGTCCATTAGGCCCGCACATGCGCTGTCTCGCCTTGTGCCCCACGACAAGGCTAATCAGCATGCGGGGATTTTATTTATTTATTTGTTTATTTATTTATTTCCATCCTTTTTGGGGGCCATTCCTTCCCCAATGGCCTGTGCTCAGTTCTCTGGGCATCAATAAGTGCCTCTTCTGCAACAAGGGTATCCCCATCACAGACACGCATTCACAGTGCATTCGTTGCCTTGGGGAAGGACACATTCCTCAAAAGTGCACTTTCTGTCGGTTGCTTAGGCCTCGGTCTCCCAAGGACAGAGAACTGAGAGAGAGGATTATATCCATGAAGGCAGCTCTCAGACCTTCTCTGGACCTGTGCCAAGAGTTTGCACACTGACATGAGTCTTCCCCACATCCCTCAACATCCAAGGGCCTTGGGGTAAAAAAATCTGCCGCCGGCCTCTCATAAGTCAAAAAAGAGGGCGGGAAGTCCCCACAGCAAGCTGTGAGCTAGCCGAAAATGATCCCCAACATGCTTGGTACCCCGGAATCCATGGCAGGCACTGTTGATGTGCCCACAGACCCAGTGGGTATGGGCACAGAGTCAACAGCACCTAAAGAGAAGGACAGGACCAAATACTCGAAGGCACCACTGGTACACGATGTCCCATTGGTACTGACGCCTCATCCTGTACCTGAATGGCCGATGTGAACAAGATCTCCGTCCTCGGCACCACTGTGGCACTGAGCCAGTCGGCACTGCTGGAATTCCGGCACCTCAGGGACCTCTGTGTAATTGACATGCCGAGTCTCCTCTCCTCGGCACTGGGACTTCTGCACCAAGTCTTTGCCTGGCACAGTAGTCTCCCCTACTGCCTTGCCATGCTCCCCTGCTCTCCAGTGCGGACTCAGAGGAGGGGATATCTCTGTACTCCCCCCAAACCCTCTATGGGGCCTGATACCAACAGGGCCCCTGGGCATATCTTCAGATGGTCCACCACTGCCGTCCTCTTACAGCCATCAATAGGCACCATCACCCAAGTGTCCATACTGGGACCCCTGGGCTGCATACCGCCCCCCAGGCCTCTTGGGCTTCTAGTCCCTCCCGTGAGCCCCCAAGACACACTTTCTTAGCCACGGTGTCCAGGACTTTGGAGCTAGTCAGGATATGCACTACAAGCTCCTGGACATCCTTCACTCATCTTCCTCTTCAAAAGTATCCCTCCCTATCAATGAGGCCCTTCTCGACCCTGTGAGAACCATATGTCAGACTCCAGCGTCGGTTGCACAGACTTGCAAGCGAGAAGACAAAAAATACTATGTCCTTGCGAGAGAAGCAGAGTTCCTCTTCTCCCACCCTCCATCCAATTCTATCGTAGTGGACGCTGTCAATTCTCATGGCTGTCAACACCACATGAGGTCCACTCCCTACTATAGGGATTAGAAGCATTTGGACTTATTTGGGAGAAGATGTACTCCTCAGCCATGCTTCAGTTTCAAATCACCAGCTACCAAGCGCTTATGGCAAAATACGATTACGAGAATTACTTGAAACTGAACAATTTCACTGAGCAGCTGGCCAAGTTGCATCGTGAACAATTTCTCTGCAAAGAGCTCAGTGCCCTCAAAGGGAAAATCTTCGACGATTGCCTGCACCTCCTTCAGGAAACCCGACAGGTGGAGTTCATAGGCATGTCGCATCACTACCGCCGTTGATATGTATCTGGCTGCAATATCGGCCGTGTAAGACCATAGCATTGTCTTTGCTG